AAGTGTCGGGGTCTGCGGCTTGCAGACAACATCACGGACGACATGATGCACATGGTGAGCTTTCTGGTTATAAAGCCAGCGGGAAACACATGCGATGTGACATTATGCAAGAAGTAAGCAGGACCTCTTGGAAATCGCTAGAGTACAAGAGAAACTCTACATTTTGTGGCATCGTGAAGTCCTGCGTAATTGACTCTCTGCCTTCCCTTCATGGCCACCTCGTTCTCATCTTCTAGAGCCTAATGCCGATGACCATACGAAACTGGCTTTCTCTTGCTGGGCCAACCCCCTGTCTATTTCCCCCACGTGGCAATTGCCTTTCCGCAGTTTGTGACTCTCCTATGGCAACGTCTTTCGGAGCAAGGGCAGACGACACGTTTGAAACGGGTACTGGACTCCAGGCGTAGTCTCCATCAATCTCCTCAGCCAACTCAATGTGTGCTTCCCATTGCTTGAAATCGACTTCTTTCGCTCCAAGGTCATTCCATCGCTTTTTTATCCCACACCACATATCCCCATCGCCTCAGGGGCTGAGGGACGTACTCTCCGTAAATGTTGGAATATCTGCCATTCCACAAGTTGACCCACGCAAACGGTGGCGTTTGGGGTGGAGCGCGGTCTCATTCAAAAACTACAGAGTTGCCTCTTTCTTCCGCCTTGTCCTTGTCGTTCGAGTGACATGGTTCCAGAATCCGCCGATCGTTTTGAGCGAGTGTCGTGAGAGACATTCTGATAGAGTCATCCCGATTTTGGTCATGCGTAAGACACCATTCCATCTTGGAAAGCAGCTTTTCATGGTCGTCAATGAACGCCGTGTGCATCATCACTTGCAAGTCTCTAGGTATAGCTCCGTTCTCTAGCTTTCCGACTGAAGATTTCTGCGCTCGGACACGACCCGACCGGAAGACAGCGCGGGCGGAATGCCAAGATAATAGTCGATCTTTCAGACCCTTGAAAAGCTGAGCATTGCTGTGTCCTTGTCTGTACATGCGCGGAATAGATGCCAGGCCCGCCGGAAGCTGACAGACATATTGATCCATGTCGAATTGCCTCATTTTCACATCACTTGTCCTAACTATCCCGCATGCAAAGTATCAGCAATGCTGCAGGTGGCTATCTTAGGCATTTGACGCACTCTCTTTGAGGGACTTCATTAGTCGCTAGATCAGCCCTCCGAATTTGCCGCGGCCTCATTGCCTACTTAGCCTCTTGACTCTAACGGCATGGCAGCGCAACATCTGCCGCAATACAGTTGCATGCGTGAGTAGGTATTTTCTTGTTTCGCTCTTGCTGAAAGCTGAGAAGCACAATGACCCAGAACGTTATTCAATCCTCAATTTGGTGAACAGCAACCGACTACCGCAGTACTTGGCTTTTCCCTTCGCACGGGCAACCCAGCATGGATAAGTAGCCTTTCCATCTGAGGCAAAACGGGTGTGACAGGTTCTAGAACCTGTAGAAAACCCGACTGTGCGGGGAGAACCGCTTAACCGAGCCTAATAAAGTGTGATGTGAACAGGTGCTCCTAAAAGCAGCAGTCCGCTCAAGTTGGACTTTCGTCGGGTTTACGATCACCCTGCAAACTAGAACATGTGTTCATGACTCATGTTCCCGCCAAGCTTTAGAGTTTCACGGACTATGTTCACTGAATCTGACTTCGCTTGCTTTCCGGTCTTGACTCGAGGAAGCTGAGCAATCTTATCATTAGCCTCCACGCCGTTAGTGAAAGAAGGTTCGTGATTGTTCATCTTAAAGTCCTCGAGAACCTTTCGTCCTTTTTTGGTTTAACCGCAAATACAGAAGGGCGAAGTATGGGGAAAACGTAAGTGCTCAGTGTCTTTACATTTTGCGTGGTCGAATTGAAATGCCTTTGAGTGTGCTAAGTTTTCTATTGATTCTGGACCAGGATAAACAACCCAAGATGGCAGAGGGGCAGCACATGAAGATTCAAACATCCAGCAGGTACCTCGTGTTTTGCCAAAATTTTTCTTATGCATACGTCAATGGGCACTTTTGTCAACGTGGCTATTCTTGAGAAGGTTAGCATCACTGGTCTTCATTTTCTGAAGCACAGAACCCCCCAGGCAGAACAACATGTTGCGTCCTGGACCCCAGTGAACTCTAAACTCGAATATGTTAGGGGAAGGTCCAGGATCAGCGCCGTGCAGAAGTACAAGTCATGTGTATTGGTACATCTTGTGACAGTATATACCGGTAAGATACGTGTTAAAACATACAAAAGGCCGTGGAAAGCCTCAACCCACAGATTGCTTCTGATCATCAGCTTTCTATCCCATCACTACAGTCTTTGGTTCATACCGAACTCACACTCACTGTCAATATTCAAAGGTCCTTCCGACTCACAAAAGAAATAGTGTAAGCTACACGTCGGTCATTGGCTTGAGTTGGTAACAAATGCTAATGTAAGAAACTCTTATAGCAAGATGGTTCGCATCACCTCTGTCCTTGCAGTTCTCGCTGCTATCACCTCGGCCTCAGCCCTGCGATGCAACATCCAAGTCCGCAACTCCGTCGGCAGAGTCGTGGGAAGCTCTTGTGTCGACGCAGGCGCCACTGGATCTGTTAAGAGCTCTCAGTCCGGCGCTACGATAAACTTCAAGACCTCCACCAGCTGTGGTGTTGATGCCACTAGTGGTCTTGGCCCCAACGAGTCTCTCTCCAACGGTGGCAACTGCTAAACGGTCTGCGTCTCTCACAATTTACGCCCCATGCAATCTCAGAACGGCCTGCTAGGGGTTGAACTAAGGACACGCAATTATGCTAGGCGCGTCAGCGGTACTGCAATAGACACATAGATCTTCGTCTTCACGTCATGTTTCCGCATAGTCTTCACTTTCTATGTTCATTTCTCTGAATTTTGGGCTCTTCTAATATGAAAAGGGTTGCTGGATGTCCGCATTTCCCTGGGAAACCTCTCTCGTTCTATCAAAGCAATATCAGGCATCGTAATGAGCCCAAAGCCAAGATTAAATCCATCACTCTGTCGTCACAAGAATGTTCAGACACAGGCAGGAGAGAAGAGGGTCACTTGACATCCATCTGTGAGATACCTTAGCTTCCTAGATCATGTTGGTAGGCTTATTTCTACATCTGCAGATCTCGGAGATTGATAAGATAAGTCGACTAGGCATGTACTCAGATGAGAACTGTCGACAAGCCCATTGATATCAGGAGCAACGAACTGTCAAACTTGACAATACGTTCTGCAACGTTGCGAGATAGCATAGATACAATCGTCGAGCTATCTCATGCGCCAAGTCAGTAGATAGTCTCCAACGGTCATGTTCATCCGAGAATCTTGTCTCCTGTGCCCTTATCATAGGCTGTTGGTTTAAACCCCAACAGGACTCGCCCGCATCCCGCATTTTGAGCTCGACATACCCCACTTACATTGCGTCTTGATAACGCCATTAGATAATGCATGCCTTATTCGTTGCGGCAAGATCCCTCCGCATCCCATGCTATTCCCGCGGTTTGCTCGGTACCTGGGGGTCCTAGCGGCACAGGCTAACGTTAAAGACCCCTACTCACATAGGGGGGGAAAAAACCCCTTACCACTAAAAAAAACCCTTACCACCTAAAACACTAAAAATAGTTAATTTAATACCTCGCTATTATAATCACTAACTTTATATATTAATTAACTACTTATAACTGTATTATATAATTATAAAAATATAATAGTTATAATCGTCTTAATATATATAATTTAACAGTATATTCAAAGTAACTATATAGCTATTTGTAACTTTATAATTATTATATCTTTACTTATAAACTTATTTTAAGTATAATTACTTTGAGTTTAATTTTAAACCGCTATAAATGTTATTTCTATTTATAACTATACTTTTTAAGCCTTCTAAATATTAACTTTCTCTATAATAGTATAATATCTTAACTTACGCCTTATTATTAATATACATATAGTTAGCGCTAGTAGTAGAGGTAGGGTAAGTAGTTTAAGCTTATTAATAATATTATTATTAACTTTATTATTAACGTTAAAGTTAACTATTAATTTTAACGCTATATTATTAATAACATTTTTAATAAGATCATTAGCTTTGATAAAAACGTTTAAGTTAAGTATAAGGTTAGCAAATACTTCTACTATATCTAATAATAATTAATTAATATCTAATTAATTTAGAAGCTTTACTATATATTTTATATAATTAAATATATCCTTTAATAGTAGCTTAAAGTTAAAATTAATCATATTAACTATAACATACTTTACTAGTCAGCCGCATATATCAGTCAGCTGCACACTTTTCCTCATCTTTTAAACATCATATAAGTTTTTACAACCAGAACGTAGAAAATCAATTAGCTCTCATTAGCATCTGATTCACTAGATGATTCTATATCTGTAGAACATGTTCGCGCATTATGGCCTGTCTTGCCGCACACACTGCAACGCTATTAAGCTGACCAACCCTTCTTCGACAGACCCCTATCTTCACCTTCTTGAGGCGCTGGATGTTTCCCTTTGCCCTTTTCTTCTAGGATAACCTAAGATTCTGCTATACTAAGTGCTCCTCTAAGCTAGATATATATCTTTTTCGCTCTCTAGCGCTTAGCAAGCGCTATATTAGCATCTGTCACGGGCTAGAGCCCGGATTGATATCTCCGGCTTTGCCGGAGCAATTACTGAGATCCGGCTCCGTTGGACCCACTACTCTGCCGCGTTACACCGCCTAACCCGGTCTGCTTCACCGCTGTTAGGTGCCTACTCTTGTAAAGTCCTTTCTTCCTTCTTCAGCTGAGAATAGTCAATCGACGGCACCTCTACGTTGAACAAGCCTAGGGGCCAGCCCCTTATATATTCTCAGCTCAACAACAAAAGACGCTATACGAAACCTCACGAGAGCGATACGACTGATTCGCTAGAGGGTAGCGTAACGAGAAGACGCTATACGGAACCTCACGAGTGCGACACAATAGATTCGCCTGAGGGTAGCGCAAACGACGCGATGACTGCAGAGATTAACCGCAGGGTTAACGAAGCAGTCAACGCAAGCATACGTCCTCTTCAGGACCAGATGACGCAGCTCTTGACAGCTCTGAACGGGCTTATGTCAACAGATAGAGCGACCCCTACGCCGCTTACGAGCAGCGTACCCACACCGTCCACCGCCGATACAACTATACAGGCAATAAGCGACGGTATAACAATAGCAACGGAAGGGCGAAAGAAGCCCCTGCTAAACCCCCCGAAGTTCACGGGAAGGCGTAAGGACTACGCAGCATGGGCCCAGCAGATGCGCGATAAGATAGAGCTAGATGCAAGGTATATTAGCAGTAATGCTGATATCTGGTACTTTATCAACTCCTGCCTTGATAGCGGGCCACAGCAGGTTGTAGCTACCTTCTACGCAGCAGGAGGTCCAGGTGGGCAGAAGGACTCTGTCGAATTCCTGAAGTACCTTGACCGGACGTATAAAGACCTAAATATAGATCTACAGGCAGCAACCACGCTACGAACCCTTCGCCAGCAAGACGATCAGTCTCTATCCTCCTTTCTACCCTAGTTTAAGCGAACACTAGCTGAGGCTGGTGGCGCCAACTAGGCAGATAAAGCTAAGATAGCCTTCCTTAAAGGGGCTCTTAGTACTCATCTTAAGAGGGGTCTGATCTATATTAAACTTCCTAAGGATGACTACCACAGATAGCTTCTCAAAGTTCAGGATTTCGCTATTAAGCTTAAAAGCCTACCTCAGCAGGCGCATAAGGGTACCCCACCTTATTCGAAAGCACCACAACCTAGCCAACAAGACGCAGACGGAGATATGGCGATGTCTGGCGTTAGCCGCGCTAAGGGCAAGGAGAGGGCAAGGCCACGTCGCCGACGTAGCAGCTCCTCCTCATCTGAAGACCTGCAACAACCAAAGAAGGATAGTCGCCGTTGTTATAACTGTAACCAGATCAGCCATATCGCTGTATAGTGCCCTAGGCGGAAGCCTCTCAGCCCTACGAAGGCTAAGAAGGTCAAAAAGGTCAAGAAGGACCCTAAGCCTGAAGGAAGCAGTAATGATAGTGCTACAGAGGAGCCAGGAAGTTCTGAGGCTGAAGAAAGCTTGGGAAAAGAGTAACTCTAACGCAAAGTTGGGCGTTAGAGGCAAAGCCTAGTGATATCACAGAATGGAAGCAGTTTAAGCATCGCATGAGCGGCAAGTCAGCAGTGATCACTACCTGCATATATAAGGGCACTTAAGCAGACGCCTTAGTAGATACTAGGTGCAACCTATACGCCCTTATCGACCACAACCTTGCCTGTAAGCTCCGCCTGCTAATAGTAGATCGCTCTGAGCAGGTACTAGGCAGCTTCAGCGACATTATAGGCGCTACGAAAGCAACAGGCGTAGTTGTCTTTAACCTCGAGCTGTGCGGTTATGATGAGAAGATCTTTGCGTATACTGTACGTGGCCTTAGCGACGACCTATTCTTAGGGAAACCCTGGATAGAGAGGAACCGTATATTATATGATGCTGCTGCCCAGCGTATACGGCATAGGAGGGGTGGTGTAGACTTACGTCTGAAAGGCGAGGGAGAGCCAGAGCGAGTGCGCCAGATCAGGGCTGCCCGCCTCCTCCTAGGAGCCCCTTTTGCAACGCTCTATAGGAGGGCATGACAACGAACCAAAGGAACTGCAGGATATAAAGTTCGAGCGATCAGCTTAGCAGATATACAGAAGGCTCTTACGAGGAAGACTGAGAAGGCAGACCTAAAGGCCCTCCTTCCACCAGCTGTACTAGCTGAGTTCCAAGAGCTATTCCAACCTGACGAAGCTGCTAACCTTCCTCCGCATCGCCCTGGAGTCAACCACACGATCCCTATCAAACAGGAGAGCAACGGCAACGAGGCTGCACTACCATGGGGGCCGCTCTACAGCATGTCACGAGAAGAGCTTCTCATCCTCCGTAAGACCCTGAGAGACCTACTAGATAAAGGCTTTATCTGCGCTAGTAGCTCAGAAGCATCAGCCCTAGTACTGTTTGTATGCAAACCAGATGGAGGGATATGTTTTTGTGTTGACTACCGCGCCCTTAACGAACTTATAAGGCGCGACTGATACCCTCTTCCTTTGATTCGAGAGACGCTACGGACTGTCAGCGCTACTAAGTGGTTCACTAAGCTAGACGTAGTAGCAGCGTTCCATAAGATCCAAATCGCAGAGGGAGAGGAGTATAAGACAGCCTTCCGAACAAGATATAGGCTATTTGAGTGGCTTGTCGTTCCCTTTAGGCTTACGGGAGCCCCTGCTACGTTTCAGCGATATATCAATAGCGTACTTTAGGAGTACCTAGACGACTTTGCGACAGCATATATGGACGACGTCCTGATCTACTCAAATAGCTTAAGGTAAGACCACGAAGCAAAGGTTAAGCTAGTACTATGTAAGCTTGCTGCTGCAGGGTTACGTCTAGACCCCCATAAGTGCGCGTTCTCTGTTAAGACAGTCAAGTACCTAGGGTTTATCATCACTGCAGGTGTGGGTATCTCTTGCGACCCTGAGAAACTGAAAGCAATTAAGGAATAGGCTGCGCCAAGAACGGTTAAGGGAGTCCGAAGCTTCCTAGGATTTGCAAACTACTACTGAATCTTCATCCCAGCGTACTCAGAGATCGCTGGACCCCTAATAGCTCTTACAAAGAAGGGTGTCCTCTTCTGCTGGGGTAAGGAATAAGAAGCAGCGTTCCAGGAGCTTAAGAGGATCTTTGCAGCTAAGCCTGTTCTACACCAACTCAACCCTGAGCGTACAACCTATGTTGAGGCTGACTGCTCAGGCTTCGCCCTTAGAGGAGTACTATCACAAGAAGATAAGCACGGAAGACGTCATGCAGTAGCATACCACTTGCAGCGGCTTAACGCTGCCCAGTTCAACTATCTGATATATGACAAGGAGATGCTAGCTATTATGAGCTGCCTATAAGAATGGAGAGCAGAGCTACAGAATGTCGGCTACTTTAGGATCCTATCAGACCATAAGAACCTAAAGTACTTTATGACGAAGCAGAAGCTTACAGAACAGCAAAGCTGATAGGCAGAGGAACTATCTCAGTACAACTTCGAGATATAGTACCGGCCAGGAAGTGAAGCAGTAGTGCCAGACGCACTCTCTAGACGCGAACAAGACGTACCTACGTCTCTAGAGGACGAGCGCAAACAAGGCCAGATTCTCCAGCTTCTTCCCGAAGTAGCCCTTACCTCAACGCGTACACGACGCGTAGAGGCAGCCCCATCAGTGCTTATGTTCACCGACGATAAGGAACTACAGCAACTCTGGGACCAGACCCAAGGGTAAGACCAAGTCTACCAGCAGGCATATAATGCTGTGAAATAACGAGAAAGAAGCTTCCCTCCTAGCCTCAAGCTAAAGGTCCAGATTGCTGAGTGTGAGATCGATAATAGTAACCAACTACTATTCAGAGACTGGATCTAGGTACTAGGTAGTGAAGACCTAGATAGCAAGGCGAACACACTACATACTTATATCATTCAAAGCAGCTATAACTCAGTACTTAGTGGACACCTTAGTAGAGATAATACCCTCGCGTTAGTCAGTAGGCGCTTCTACTAGCCTGGCCAGTCACAGCTAGTACGACGCTTCTGCTGCAATTGCGATGGCTGCAGGCGAAGCCACATCTGGAGAGAGCATCGAAAAGGACTTCTGAAACCTCTACTAATACTGCAGCGTATACGAAGCGACCTCGCTATGGATTTTATTACCAACCTTCCCCTTACGGATAAGGGTGAGGGATACCTTTGGGTAATTATCGACCGGCTAGGAAAAGGTGTAACCCTTGAAGCTATAGAAAGTATGGAAGCTGAAGCCTGCGCTGAACGATTCCTAAGCTGCCACTTCCGCTTCCACGGCGTCCCTACTTCAATTGTGAGCGACAGAGGAAGCAACTGGACGAGCTGCTTCTGGCGGCAATTCTGCAAGCTTTTAGGAATAGAACAGCAGCTCAGTACTGCCTATCACCCACAGACTGATAGCAGCCCAGAAAGGATAAACCAAGAGATCCAGGCCTACCTACGCAATTATATTACCTACTCGCAGAAGGATTAGGCGAATAACCTCCCAGCAGCCCAACTAGCGCTCTGCAGCCGCGATAGCAGCGCTATAGGCATGAGCAGCTTCTTCTTAGAACACAGATACCACCCAGAGCCTGTCCGGGTTCAAGAGACAGACCCAGAAGACCATGAGGGCCCTCGTGAGGACCTAGCACGCAAGTTAGTAACAAGGCTCCAGGACGTGATGGATATAGCACGGTCGACCCTTGCCTCAACGCAGCAACGCTATGAGGAGCTGGCTAATAGGAAGCGCCAGCCTACGGAGAGACTAGAAGCAGGCGACAAAGTCTGGCTTCATATAGGCCACTACAGGTCCCCTAGGCTATGCAAGAAACTGGATTAGTTGCACCATAAGTATACCGTTACAAAGGTTATCTCACCATACGTAGTAGAGCTTAACGTGCCAACAGCTATATACCCACGCTTCCACGTGGATACCCTGAAGCGTGCAGGTAACAACCCTTTACCTGGGCAAACGCTAGATGACGAGCAGCCGCCACCAATTATAGATGACGAAGGCGAGGAGACCTGGAATGTAGAGAGTATCGACGCCGCTACCTGGAAGCGTCGAGGGCGCGGGCGACGCCGCGAAGTTCTGGTTAAGTGGGAAGGATACGCAGAGAGGACCTGGGAGCCTATTGAGACGCTCCAGGGGACAGAAGCATTAGAGGCTTATGAACGCCGTTATGGCTCCGCGATGGAGCATGATGGAGACCCAGCCTTAGGGCCGCGGGCACGCCGCCGGAGGGGAGCGGGGGGGTAATGTCACGGGCTAGAGCCCGGATTGATATCTCCGGCTTTGCCGGAGCAATTACCGAGATCCAGCTCCGTTGGACCCACTACTCTGCCGCGTTACACCGCCTAACCCGGTCTGCTTCACCGCTGTTAGGTGCCTACTCTTGTAAAGTCCTTTCTTCCTTCTTCAGCTGAGAATAGTCAATCGACAGCACCTCTACGTTGAACAAGCCTAGGGGCCAGCCCCTTACAGCATCCTGAAGTATGCGCACCTAATCTGTTAAAATTATAATTAAGTGCGCTATTACCTATGCACCCTTTACTAGCTGGTTAACTGCCTTAATTATTAGTGTTAGAAAGCTTCCCTAATAAGCTAAGATCTAAGTTTTAATAAAGTTTAATTATAAAAGCGTTTTATATTAGTTAGAGGGTGTTTATAACTATTAGGCTAATAGTGTTAAAGGATTAGTTATAAAAGGTGTAGGCATCTATATATATATATTAAGTTTCCTAATTATATAATTTAGGTCTTATAGTAAAATACTAGCTCTATAGAAGGTGGATTTAATGTTTTTATTTATAAAGATCTTATTATAAGCCTTATAGAAGGTAATAAAGAACTCAGACTTTATAATATAGTTAATAGAGGATTTAGTAAATAAGTTAATTTTATCCCTATATATATGTTTTAAAGGTGAGTATAGCGTAATATCTAATAGCTGGAGTAAGTGAGATAAATATAAAAGTATACTAATAGTAATAATATTATTCTGCTTATAGTTGTCACAGGCTAGAGCCCGGATTGATATCTCCGGCTTCGCCGGAGCAGTTACTGAGATCCAGCTCCGTTGGACCTACTATTCTGCCGCAGTACGCCGCCTAACCCAGCCTGCTTCACCGCTGTTAGGTGCCTACTCTTGTAAAGTCCTTTCTTCCTTCCTCAGCTTAGAATAGTTAATCGACAGCACCTCTATGTTGAACAAGCCTAGGGGCCAGCCCCTTACAATAGTATTTATTAAATTCAGCTGATAAATAGCTCTTATATCTATTAATTATAAGCATCTAATAGACACCTTTTATATAAGCCTAAGTATACTTTTTGAAATGCTTAATTTAGTCTAGGCTAGTTTTATTATTAGTCTATCTATTAATAGTTAGTTTAATCACTTAGTTGCTTAGAAAGCCTGATTCTATTAACTAGTTAGCAAAGTGATAAGATCTTCAAATAATCATAAAAGGTGGGATGCACTATGCCCTTAAATTAATATACTTAATAACTGTTAGCACAGGTATAAGCGTATTCAGGGGCGTGGTATATGCGCCTGTATAGTATAAGTGTTACGGTCAGCTATCCGACAGTAGGGTCTGCTAACAGAAGCTGGGGATTAATACGTTCTAACAGTACACTGGGTCGTGGTCGTAGGTCGTAGTTCGTAGGCTGTAGTAGATTGGGTCTTCAGAGGCTAAGGTGATCAGTCTTAGACTTAACAAGTGATTCGCAGTGAAGGTAAGCTGAGAGTATCTGTGAGGATGAATACTAAGTTGATTGCTGAAGAGCTATGGAAGTCTGACTATAAGCTGGGCTTAAGGTTATACTATATATAAGTTCTGAACAGTACCCTTTACTTAATCACTGATCCTTCACCAGGTACCAGTAAGCGCTTATTGACTGTTGGTGAGCGCTCAGTAACTTCGACTGAGCGCTCAGTGATCCACACTGCCTGCTCAGTCTTATCTTATCATCATGTGACTTATATTATAGTTCTTCCGTCTCCGAGTGAGTCCCTATTGTTCCTATGATCCTGCAGTATAAATATCCTATCCTAGCCGCCCGACGCCTGAGTGGGTTGTTCAGCTGTTATCCTTATTTATAGGTCGTAACATCAGGTCCCCTCTCCAAAGGTCTTATCCTTAAGGCTTAACATAAGTAGGTCGTTAGTCCTAGGTTGGGGATCTATCAATTATGCTTCCTGATTTACCTATAATGCTGACACTATATCAGGTTGCGTTCCTGAAAATCCTGCGATTTCTACTCTTTGTCGTTATCGTCGTTCCCTCAACATTACAGAGAACAGGTTCGAAGTTATGCCTTGTCGTCGCTGTCGGTCTAAGGGGTTGCGCTATAAAATGCTGCCTAGCTCCTTAGTTTGCAGAGAGTGTGTCGCTGTAAGTGGCACTCGTCGTTCGTGTAATGCTTCCGACGATGCGATCTGTTAATATTCGTGTAGTCCCTGAGGCCTGTTGTGTTTTGTTCATGCTAACTTATGTGTAGTGGAACGTTTGATAGTTAAATCTCAGCGTTTGGACGATGAGGAGGAAGAAACTGAGGAACTGTTTCAAAAGAGAATAGAGGTGCTGCAAAAGGCGCAGGCTGAAGTGAATAAGGCGCTTGCGAAACTGGATTATATCCGCAAGGCTAAGCGAATAGTGTTCAAAAAGGGTCGCAAGGAGACTTCAGTGGTAGCTGAAGAGGAGGGGGCAGCAAATCCTTCCCCTGTTGAGTCTTCCTTAGTTCTTGAGGCGCGGTTGGTGGGCGCTTTTGGTGCGATAGACCTGGATACCATCCTTAGCGATTAGAACCCAGGCACTCCAAACTTCTTATTGGAGGCATCTTAGTTGATTTCTGGTGTTCCTAGGCGGATAAATAGTTTTCCTTGTTGCGGCCGATCTACTTCAGTAGGTGGTTTGGTGAAGCGATATAGGTGCTTGATTTGCTTATATCTGGCGTTCTTCTGGACTAGTACAGCAGGTGTTAGTGTGGCTTCTCGTTCTTAATATTATTGCCAGTAGATCGTAAGTTCTTCTGCTGCGTTAGTGATGTTTTTAGCTGGTTCCTATATGTTGTCTTTATATCTATATCCTTTCTATTTAACGAGGTATTAATACCCTTCTGGTTCTTTGAGGTGGTTGATAATCCGTTCGACTTCGTACTCTGGTTCGTTATCTTCGACGATAATAATATCGTTTGTCTGTGATCCACTTAGTGCTGGTTCGAGGAGTGAGATATAGAATACTGGGTGACACTTCATAGTTTCTAGGAGTCCTAGTTTGTAGTTGACTGGTGAGATTACTCATGATATTTTGAAAGGTCTGAGTTTTTTATAGTTGAGTTTATCGTTTGGTCGCTTTGTTTTGATGTTTCGCCATATAAGATAGGCGCTATCTCCCTCTTTTAAGGTTGGTCCCTTAATCCTTTGTTTGTTGCTGAATTTTGTCATTCTTTGTCGTATGAATTTGAGTTCTTTGCGTGCGTTTTCTTGGATATCCTTGATTTAGCGTATTGAGGCGACAGCTTTTACTGCAGCTGGGCCTGTTTAGGGTTCTCTATAGGCGGTTGGTTCGAATCCATAGTTGAGGTAGAAGGGGGATTCCTTGGTACTTTCTCCTACTGCGCTGTTGTAGGCAAACTAGGCTATTAGTAGCAATACAACCTAATTATCTTAGTTATAGTTAACGTAGGCGCAGAGGTATATTTCGAGGATTTAGTTGATTCGTTCTGTTTGTCCGTCAGTCTGCAGGTGGAATGCAGTAGATATTGATTGTTTGATGCTGAGTTATGATATAATTGACTTCCAGAATTTAGAAGTGAAGATCTTATCTCTGTCTGATATAATCTCTCTGGGCGTTCTGTGGTTGGCGATAATATACTTAAGAAATATGTAGGCATATTCTTCAGCGTTACTTACTTCTTTATATAGGATGAAATAGGCGTACTTCGTGAGTCGGTCCATAATAATAAGAACGCTGTCAAAGTGTGTTCCTATAAGAGGTTCTCAAGACTTCGGTAGCTTGACGATGAAGTCGAGGGATATGGATTGCCAGGCGGTTTGCAGCACAGGCAAGGGTTGTAGCATACCATAAGGTTGATATCAAGCAGGTTTGCTTTTGAGGCAAACCTCATAATTCTTAATTGCTTTTGCCACTCTTTCTCTAGTGACTTTTTCTCTATATTGTTGTCGTAGTTATTTCTAGGTTTTTATAATTCCTTAGTGACCATATGCAGGGCGAGCGTGAAACTCCATAATTGCTTCGTCGTCTAGTTCGCTAGGTGGGCTAGTACTAGATCGTCCAGCTATTATCAAGAGTTTGGTTGCTAGCACTAGGTCTCCGTTGTTATTTCCTTTGAGAATCATCTGGGTTTCTTCAGGTATTAGGACGTTATAGTCTGGTCGTCAGCTGAGAGCGTCAGCTCTGCTATTATCTGATCCTTTGCAGTGGATGATTTGGAAGTTGAATTCTGATAGGAATTCTAACTATCTAATTTGTTGTTTATTCAACACTTTTGAAGTCGTGAAGTGTGAAAGGTTCTTATGGTCTGAATACATAAGTACTTCATATGTGGTTCCTGAGAGCTTAGGTCTCTATTCCTTGAAGGCTTCAATAATTGCCATGAGTTCCTTATCGTGGATCTGATAGTTGAGTTTGGGTCTGTGGAGCTTGCGAGAGAAGAAGGCGCACAGATGTAGTCGTCCTTCTGAGTCTCGTTAAGATAGTTGCGCTCCTATCGCATAGTCGGATGCGTTAGGTTCTACTTCGAACTGTTTTGTTAGGTCTGGAATGCTTAAGACGGGCTCGCTGGCGATGAGGTCCTTGATCTTCTGGAATGCT